CCAACCAAGGAACGAATTTTTCAAAATTTGAAAATCGCTCACTACATGAATTTTATTTCAATACTAATGACATCCTCCGGATTCTAAAGAAGTTAAAGCCATCACTCTCAGAACCATATGATGGTATACCTCAAATTATTTATAAAGAATGTGCCGATGCACTTTCCAAACCCTTGACACACATTTTTAATATTTCCATAATGTTTGGCAAACTACCTGGATTATGGAAAGAGGGTTTGATAACAGCAATCCCAAAAAGTTCAAACCCAAGCCTTGTATCGCACTTCCGTCCGATTAGCATAACCTCCACATCTGTCAAGGTTATGGAGAAAATCCTGAGAGATGTAATTAGGGGGCGTATCGTTACGTGCGGGCTTCAAATTGGAAAACGTCGCGCGCGACAGGCTGCCAGTGACCAGACTCGGAAAATTCAGCAAGCATGATCCGCAGCACATAGTATTTCAGTTTCTCATCCTTTGTTGAGGTTCTCAGACTAGTCTCATATTAGTTTTGCTTAGTTATTTGAAGTTTTGCCGTAAAAGTTGTAAAATGAGCACTTTGAAGGATAAAAAAGACACAAATTGTAGAAGGTAAAATACTAACAATATAGGAGAAGCATCGGTAATGTAGTGGTATAAATCTGACAAGTTTTCTGCACTGCTGCTTCTCGCGCGCGGTTACTTTAACGCCACGATGCGACGTTTTCCATTTGGCACACCGCACGTAACGAGCGCCCCCCATGTAATTACATCATGGCTTTTCAAAGCAAATCTTATACCCACAGAGCATCATGGCTTTCTTGAGGGAGCATCTACTGCCACCAACCTATTGGATAGTATTTTTGACTGGACCTTAGCTATCAACCACAAAAAATCTATAGATATAATTTTCTTCGATCTTTCGAAAGCTTTTGACAAAGTTCCTCATGAGAAACTCATAAAAAAGCTCGAAGGACTTGGAATTTCTGGTACTCTGCTAGCTTGGCTAATTTCTTATCTGCAAAACAGACATATGACTGTCAGAATAGGCCATAGTTACTCTGAAAAGTACGCATGCAAAAGCGGAGTCCCACAGGGTGGTGTGCTCTCGCCCTTGCTATTCCTCTTATACACTTTAGACCTACCTAAGATACTGAAAACCTCATCTTCAGTCAAAGTACAGATATATGCTGACGATATAAAAATTTACGGTATCTACGATTCTAATGATTTCTTGGAGGTTCAGTCAGCCCTTAGAAATTCTATCAGAAGAATGCTTGAATGGTCAGTAAATTGGGATATTCCTCTCAACCTGGACAAATGTTGCGTTATGCACATTGGGAATACTACAACATCAAAATATGAAATTGACGGAATAACTTTAAGGGAGTGCACTTCAATCAAAGATTTGGGAATTCTTATTGATTCTACCCTCAAATTTTCACTACACATAGATTGTATAGTCAGAAAGGCGTATACTGTACTGTATGCCATTTTTCGGAATATACACTCACAAAATCCTTCAGTTTTAAAGCTCCTGTACAGAACATATGTGTTACCTCATCTTGAATATTGCTCACAAGTTTGGAGCCCTTACTGTAAGAAAGATGTGAGGAAATTAGAAAAGGTACAACATACTTTTTGTATCGGTGGTTCAAGGCTTTAGTGTAGCCTAAGGCGAAATAGCGCCTGTAGAAGTGTGTTACGTAGAACACATTAGCTAATAAGCTTTATGAACAGACGACGTGCACGTATGGGTGCAATGGTAGAATGCTGTAGATAATAGGCGTGGTATAATAACATAACAGTATCACAGCAGGTCATGCTTATGGCATGACCCGTACGGTACTTCGGTGAGGATAAAGATACGGTTATTAAGAAGGTGCCGACAATGGCGGCACACTCCGGCGATCGGGAGAATTGGGAACAGCGGAATAAATTACAAGTACATATCTGATAAAAAGGGGGTGTCGGTTATATCGGCACACTCCGGCCAGGCATGATGATGAGAAGGAAGAATAACGGAACAAGTAAGTGTCTATCTGTCAGGATCACGTAGTGGTCGTTTCCGCAGTGGATCGCTGGTGATTGTGAGGCAGAGAGCACGACCGGTGGTGATGGAGCATTGATGGAGCAATAGAGAGGTAGACAGCTGTAAAATATGGATATGACGCTTTTTTTGTAAATCCATCCACCTCTAGCGGCGAGTGGTATACAGAATCTGAAGTAGTGCTGCTTCGTTTATAGTCGTTCTTCTCCTTGCATCGAAGATGCTGCTTCGCACAGAGAGGTTCAATTACATTGCTGCACTCGTTTGCCTGTGGCAATCTCGGTGTCATGACCTCCATCGTCGGACGCTCACTTGCAGTAGTTAGTAGCGTGCTATCGATTTCTTCGCTAGAAATCCTCTTGTTATAGACATCTTCACCTTTTTCATTGTTGTCGTCGTTAAAGATTTTGGGAATTTCATTGCTCGGTCCTTTGAGTGTGACGTCCAGATCTGCAGACTTCGTCATTGGCATTTTTGATGTTGATTTGCTGCCGTTGTTATTCCCATCTTTTAGTTTGAACAGGGTTTCTCCGTTTGAATTTTTCATGTCATTCATGAGCCTTGATGTGGGAAACTTCCTCCCGCTCCCTACTAACTCTAGCATATCATCTGCTATGCGTTCTTGCACGAGGAATAGAAACCTTTTAGCGTCAAAAATGGTTTCAAAAAATCTTATCTCTTCTTCCAGCGCATCCCATTGCTCCGCCATTAACTTCTTCGCAGCTTCGGATTCAATTTCCTCACGTCTTTCCATCAATATGTCGTAATCCATTTGTAGCGATTCAACGGCATCTTCAACTTCCATTTTGCACCTCGCTAGTGAATCCAGATGTTGAGCGCATGAATCTTGCCGCTCTCGCTTGCCATCTGGAAGAATAATTTTCTCACCATGGCAGGCGTACTTCTGCAATAGTTCCACGAGTTCCCTGGTGGATATTCTGAATACATCTGTGAGGAAAGGCGAAATCCTCATCGTTGTTGTAGTTGTGCTGCTTTTTTGAGCAAGCACGTATCGGTCTTATTTGGCCGATGCACCAAATGCATCGGTGGTTCAGTGGTAGAATGCTCGCCTGCCACGCGGGCGGCCCGGGTTCGATTCCCGGCCGATGCACCAGAATATTGGATATACTGTGCGAGACTCTTGGGTAATTGTACCCGAGTTAAACTTACTTTTTGGTGGTTCAGTGGATTCTTCGAGGCAAACAGACAGTTGAGAGCGAGAGGTTTATTGGGGCGGTTATCGCCAATGTAGAGTAACAACTGAAGGGGGGCCAAAGCCACCAAAACAACATGCGGGGCCGCGCCCCGCCCCCCGTGGGGAGACATCATCGTCACCGATGATACTTTTACTCGTTTACTATTTCGCAGGTGCTGGTTCAACAGAAACGTTCCCGATTACAATGATCATCTGAAAATTCTCAATATGCGAAGTTTGGCATATCGTCGAAAAGTCTCTGATCTGGTTCTCTGCTTTAGAATCTTACGTAGAGAAATCAGACTCAAAGCTAGTAAATACTGGATATTTATACCCACCAATCAACGCTCTGGATCGTTCAACTTGCATTATCCCCCAATCAATAAAAAGCAATTTTTGCTAACTTTTAACATGTTGTTTTGTAGAGGTGCAAGATGGTTACAACATCTTCCGCCTCATATTCTACAATCAAGTAATGCCCAAATGTTCAAGAGAAAGTTATTCAACATTGATTTGGATAGATTACTGCTGAATTGATGTTGTCTACTTTTTACACATGTTGGCTTCCTTCATCCTTATCCTCTCATACTCTCTCATCTATCTATTGTAATACATTTACTCGTGCGCACTTATTGTGCATTTTGTAAATAAATAAATAAATAAAATGTTGTGGCATGTTGGAAACATGTGTTGCTGACGTTTTCAGGGTGTAGCCACACGTGGTAGCCTGAGACGCAAACCAAGGGTAGCAGCAACTGTAGAAGGGACGATACACCCATGGTACTTTATCAAACGCGTTAAAACGCACTGATAAACTTGTGAATCAGAAGTACGCAAAATGCATGTGTCTCTTATTGTTAGTAAGAGAATGTATGTTACATGGTTCATCCCGGTTTGAACCACTCAGCTTAAATCTGCATTTGGCATCTGCTAAATGGTCTCCTAAGGCATTCGCCATACCTTACGCGATCCCGTCTCCACTCCTTTCCACAAACTTACAACAGGATCTAAGCCAGTGACCTTTCGGTTACGAAGCGTCACACTTGAAGGCAGTGTCCGGGCAAAAACTCGATTTTGAGATTTTGTGCTTATCCGGGCCTATTCGCTATGCTGAATCCGAAAATCCACATTGGAGAGCGCGAAAACGACGAAAAAGGGCTCTAATACTGGAGGGAAATCAGCAAGTGGGCGGGGTCTTCCCCACGGTGAATTCACGCTCCCAGCTTCGAGGGCGATCTTTTTGATTCCGGTTTCAGGTCATTCGTCTGTACTTGATCGATAGTGATGTCAGGGCGGCTAACGGATTCGAGAAAATTACTCTGGAATTACTCCTTCGGTCTACCCCCTTACGCGTTTGAACATGTTCTCCACTTGGCATCCACCTCCCCTCTATTGCTGCCACTGTGGCTGAGGCTGAAGTTGGAAGGTACAACTCGTCCACGTTGCTTCCGCAGGGCTTCCAGAAAACGGGGTTTTTGGGAACTTCGTGCGATTTTAGGCCCGTACAGTGCTAGACAGGGTCCGACAGGCTTGCAAAATGCAAAAAACTCGGCAACTAAATTTTGGTGAGACACTACCTTTAAGGAGACCGTTCAGCAGATATTGATGATCACCAGATATTGATGACACATTTCGAGCTTAACATTACAGACGGATGGGCCTTGTATCCCTTGCCACAAACGGGTGGATGGACTTAGTATTCCTTCAACGTTGGTTTCAGAATGGATCATTTATACCCTGCACTGCGCTACAAAGTGCGGATCTCTCTGTTCCCATTATGACTTGCGGAAGCCTCGCACCCCTTTTTCTGTCACCAGAGATGGAATGCGCGGTATACCAAAAACTGCAGTAATTATATGGAATGGTATCGGCTCACTGAACTGCGCGAAAGGGAAGGAAACCATCTTAAATTACATGTTAAAATTTTACTTCTGAATTCGGGCAAAATTTACGCAATTTAATCGCTACGCGATCCTCCCAACAAGAAACAGTTGCAAGTCCATTGCATGTCGATCATCTTGCGTTTCGGTTGCGACAGTTAGTCGCGATTAGTCGTGTCGGAAAACTATCACAACCAAAATGCAACGTGATCGACATGCAGTGGACTCGTAACTGTTCTCTTATCGGGGAATCGCGAGCGATGAAATAGCGTGAACTCTGCCTGAGGCCTTAGGCCGTTCTCAGCTTTAAAGGCAGCGTCCAGGCAGATCTCGACCTATGGGGCTTTTACGTGGAAAGTACTTTTGGGGCCCTAACTAAGGCACGGCCCAAGCGGCAGCTCGGGTAGTGCTCTAATGGCTGAGATATTCCCCTCGAAACTGGCCCCCGCGAACGTATTCGCATGGATTCATGGCAGTTTCGCGCCAGGATCCACGCTTTGCGCCATGAATTCATGCGAAACACGGTCGCGGGGTCCAGTTTCGAGGGGAATATCTCAGCCATTACAGCACTACCTGAGCTGCTGCTTGGGCAGTGCCTTAGTTAGGGCCCCAAAAGTATTTTCCACGTGAAAGCCCCATAGGTCCAGATCTGCCTGGACGCTGCCTTTAAGTCGCGGACTTTTCTGTGGGGATAAGTTGCAATTCAGGGTAAGTGTAATCGCAGCCTACAACAAGGAGTTTATGAGACTATGCAGGGTCCCGTGCAAATGGTCTGGGGAACACAAGCGAGTCCTGGTTCACCCAGTCGTTAATAGCCTGCTCCATAGTCGCGGCGTATACCACTGGGGAGTAAGTAAGAATTTTTTTTTACCATTGTCGCCTTGCCCCAACGATGGCGAATGCATCCGGAAGTCGCATCTAATATCTGCTCCATGACGAAGGCGGTCGCCCAAATAGGTTGACAGCATGCAAGGCTGACGCGCACGCGGCGCGTGGGTAATTGTCAACCACGGTTGAACTTCTGGATGACCGCTGAACGAGCGTGCGTGCGCCCTGTGGTTGACAATTGCGCGCGCGCCGCAGCTTTGCATGTTTTCAACCTATTTGGGCGACCGCCTTCGTCTTGGAGCAGATATTACATACGAAAAGCCGCGCACTTTCCCGCCGGGGAGACGGTTAAAGGCAGCGACTCTGCAGATTCTCGATTTGGAAGTTTTTTGCTTACCTGGGGTAATTTGAGGCGCTGATTCCGAAAACCCATCTTTAATAGCGCGAAAATGGCAAAAATCACTTCCCGAGGACTCCCATTTTGAATTTGGATGAGTGGAGCACGTCCCGCCAGGTTAGAAGGCAAAATCGTGACCCTCGCACATATAACATTGCGGCATGCATACTTTCTCTGACGAGTCAGGAAGAGCAGCAAGTCGTGCGCTCGGACCTGCTCTGTTCTCATGTTTGGGGTGCAAGCAACATTCCATTCAAAATTTCGGTATGTTCAGTTTTGGCGAGCTGCTGCCTTTAGGTTACCAGTTAGACAACCCTATTAAAACCTACGCAAGTCTTTCAATGGCACCATACAAAATTTTTCAGCTTACTAGCTATCATTCACTCTCTGACTGAGAGAACGCGAGCACGCTTTGACATTTCATTAACAAGTTCATGAATGAGTTTCAACGCGTCTTGGTTGATTTACTATCAGAGTTCTTGGAACATGTTTGAGTTTGCTGAATCACTCTGGCTTGAACACGTTCTTTCACGAATTCCTTATAGTAATTGACCAAAACGCGTTGAACTCATCAGTGAACTTGTTGATCAAACGAGCGCAAAGCATGCTCGCGTCTCTTAGTCAGTGAGTGAATGATATTTAAAGTTATAACTTACTAAATTTGGCTGTTTTTAGTGAAAAGTTGGTCAGAATACTCATGAAATAGCCACTAGTTGCATTTCACGGGCCTTTGACCTCCAGCACTGAACTTTATTTCTATTTCGAGATGATAAGGTTGAACGCCAAAGCAACGGTCTACATTGCTTCAGAAATTTGAAAGGCTTTTGGAACGTTATCAAAGGCTAAAAATGCGCTGTTTAGTGCCCATCTTGCATAAAATAGCGCCACTTAAACAAACGCCCCTTGCACCGCCAGCTCAGTCAGGAAACTTTGCCCGTTGTTGCTTTTGGTTGCCTAAAAAGTTTGCAGCTATATACTCTTCGAAGTAAAGCATTAGAGTTCTTCTACAATCGAGCTAGACTTCAAAAGCCCACAACGGTGCACCAAATACAGGCATTCGTGTTTGCTTTTTTGAATGCGCTAACTGTGCTTGCACCTGCCGCGCTGGAAATGACGTCACAAAGTACAGTTCTCTTTTGGTCGGCCAGAGCGTGCATTCACTACTCCTTTTTACAATAGTTTGGTGAGCTCATGATTCTGATCCATTTCCTCTAGGTACTGGAATATCCGGCAGAATGGATGGAAATCGCGGTTACCGCAATCAACGTCGAAGAGGAAAGAACTGGTCTAACAAAGTGTAAGTTTATGTTTTTCTGCGAATTCCGATTTCCATTTGGCAAGAGCAGGCATTCATTAGTGGAAATATCTGCTTTGGAGAGGTATTATTAGGAGACTTATCAACCCCCTTCTCACTTCGAAGAATTACGAACAATCATAGGAATGCAAATTCGCATGAAGTATCTGTCTACATTTTCGGCACAACCACGGTTGCTATCTTCAAGTGCTGCAGCGCTACGTAGTTGGGGTCAGTGCAAAGTCTTCGCTTGGCTTTTCGATCCCACCACTAGGAGTCTGCGCCCTTATACGCATACGAACGAATGCTGGTCGGGGGAGATCGAGGACATATCCATTCTCTGGCTAACAATAAGAGAAACGAGCACGCTTTGTACGTTTGATTAGCAAATTCATATGTGAGTTAAAGGCAGCGTCGGGAAAAGTCGATTTTGAGATTTTGTGCTTACCCGGGCATATTCGCTATGACGGATCTGAAAATCTACACTGGAGAACGCGAAAAAGGGCTCTAAGACAGGTGCCAAGCTTATCCTGTTCAACCGGTTCGTCTGGTTCACTCATTCGCTATTGGTCAAATCAATGCACTGACCAATAACAGAGGCGGTGATCCGAATGAGCCTGTTGAACATGGTAAGTCTGGCACCTACCTAATGCAGGAGGGAAATCGGCGGGTGGACGGGGTCTTCCTCACGCACCTAGCTTTCGGAGCGACTTTTCGATTCTGCTAGCCGTCCTGACATCGTCACCAGCCAAGCGCGAACGCGCGACATGAAATTAGAACCGAGGATATCGCTCCGGAAGTTGGGAGCGTGAATTTGCAGTCGGGAAGACCCCGTCCTCCTGGTGGATTCCCTCCTGCGGTAGAGCCCTTTTGTGCCTTTTCGCGTTCTCCAGTGTGGATTTTCGCATTCAGCATAGCGAATAGTCGAGTAGGCACAAAATCTCAAAATCAACTTTTGTTTGGACATCGCCTTTAATGCAGCGGGTTGATACACTGCTAGGTTTTTGAACATAGCGAGTTCGAACATGTTCTTTAACAATCAGAAATTTACCAGGCGCGTTAAAACGGATTCATAAGCTTGTTAATCAAATTACGCACAACGTGCTTGTGTCTTTTAGTCTCAGAATGAATGATAAACTCGGGCGTTCCACATAAGTTGACCCAAAAAATGAAGATCGTGAATTTTGCTAAAACTTCGTCTAGGGAGGTTATCTGGTACGCTGAACACGAATATGATGTCTATTTCGTGCGACAGCGCCATCTGGTGGAGTGGAGTTACGGTAGGATTACGGTAGGGGCAAAATCACGGATTCGCCCGAAATTTGGCCTAGGGGGGTTATTCGGCCCGCTGACGCCGAATATCACACTGGTTTTGTACCGTACCGTCATTTTCCGGGTTACGGCGGGTATACGGTAGGGGGTCAAAATCTCAAATTCCGCTGTAACTTCGCACAGAGGGGTTATTCGACATGCTGATCAAAAATGTCACACTTATTCCGCACGAAAACGTCTCCCTGCATGATTATGGTAGGTTTACGGTAGAGGTCAAAATCACGAATCGGCAAATGTATCTTTCCTCTGTGCTTTGCTTAGGCAAAAGCCGCAGCAGGGTGTATAGCGCACGGCGGTGGTTGTGTGTGCAAAGCTTCACGATTATCCGAATCGCCGTACACCCGTTTCAGGCAAAACTATGTTTTACACCCGTTACCGTGTAGCTACCGTAACTCGAGAAAATGACGCTACGGTACAAAACCAATGTGATATTTGGCATCAGCAGGCCGAATAACCCCTGTGGGCCAAGTTTCGAGCAAATCCGTGATTTTGACCCTCTACCGCAATCCTACCGTAACTCCACCGAATGGCGCTGTCGCACGAAATAAACATCATATTCGTGTTCAGCGTACCAAATAACCTCCCTAGATGAAGTTTTAGCGAAATTCACGATTTTCATTTTTTGGGTCAACTTATCTGGAATAGTACCGATACTTGTTGTTACAAAACAGACAGCTCTCGTGTGCCATCACAGTTCGCAAATGACGTAAAACCACGATTCGCATCGTGCCTATTTCTGTCCGATAAAGATTGGAGCAAATTGTACCCACTTTGAGTCGATCCCATTCATAATTTTTTCATCCTTGTTTGCTTTCTTTTTGAAAAGTACACTACCGCGTGTGAATATCAGTTAAATACCCTGCTTGGATTTATGAAAATGATTGCTTGCAAACACCTTTTTGAAGCCAAGCTTCCTTTTCAATCACGAATAATGCATGGTGCCATTATTCATGGTTTTTCATATTTCACAGCAAACCGAGGGGTATTGGATAGTCAAAACAACTTTTAGTTAGCTGTTAGGTTACCGATAAACGATGTTTGAGAGAAGATTCAGACTCCTATTGGGCGATGGACCTCTATATTTCTTGATCGTCGCTGACAGCTTCTGACTGTCATCAGTGGCCAGCGTGCCCATTGCAACTTCTATCCAACCTAGCCATAACACATTCGCGACAGTACGATCCACCGGTGGGTCTTACGTGTTCTGCCCACTGGTGAGTCGTAAGATTCCTGAAGCTCTAGCGTTGTCAGTCTACGGTTGAATTTTACGGGGATCTGGTACATGATTGGCGACACCTAGGCGAAGCTCCAGCCACAGGTCCGGGCTTGAGATACTGTAGTGTAATGTTACGGTAGGTACACCGTAGATAGAGGAGCGACACAAACTTTAGCTCAAATTCTTCGCGGAATGATGCTATTTTTGAACAATTAAGTGTACATGACGAGAAATACGGGGGGGGGGGGTGGGGCAAGAGATTGACGTTAGCCCATCAAAACATATCGGTTTTATTGGTTTTATGGATTTTTTTCATCGTTCACCAGGAAGCTGAAATCTAACATATATAGGTTTTGTAGCATGCTGATTACGAAAGTGTTAGTCTCAAGTTCTCTTACCGCCTTACATCAGTTCTTTGATTCTTACGAAAATTCCACCGTACTGCTACCGTAGTCCCATGTGGACAGCAGTGAACAAAGTACTAATCGTGAAATAACCCCAAAACCCAATTTTTCTTGAAAATGCATGATATTGAGTTCCTACAGAATGACTACCCTAATCTCATAGTGTAATGCCCAAAACTGAAGTAAATCATATTTTGATATCCAGAACCTTCGATAATTCCTTTGGGCAAATTCTAGGAGACATGTTTTGAACTTTTGCCACAAGACTACCATTTCGGACAATACGATCCAGGGGTGGGTTGTAAGTTTGACAAAGCGAAAAAGGATCTGGTCCAAAACGGCAGTAATTGAAAAATCGGCCCTGTCGTGAATGTGTTAGAGTACATTTCGCAAATGAGAAAACTACGATTTTTTCAAGTCCTGATACATCTATTGTCCATTTTACAATTGCTGCTGTCCCTGCTCTGCGTCTCAACACAACATGTAGTTCGTTGCCATCTTGTCAGCCATGCTTGACTTAGGTTAGAGACGTGGCCGGGATAGCAGCAATTGTGAAATGGACGATAATTTGCCGAGACCCTGATTTCATAGGCTCTATGCCTATGCGTTGTGCTTGCTTTACCTGTCTTCTTCTCAAATCACAATGTTGATTACTTTAACAAACAGAAGAAATTGCAGTGGAACGCAAAGAACACTGATTCTAGGATTTTTTCAAGCTGCAGCACTTATTTTAGTGGAAGTTACTGACCTCAATCAGCAGCAAAATCGCAAAGAGTGAGCAGAATTATCAGTGTCATAATCATCAATCATAAATCATTAATCATCATTCATTTCCGTGTCAAACTTAGTTGAAACAACTAACGCTTATGCTCATGCAGATTTCGGTACTGAAAATCCCATAACTCCCCTCCAAATTTGTTCTGCAACTATCGAAGACAGTTTTGGAATCAATATTACAAGCTGCGTTCGAGGATATCCATCTCCTGGCAGACTAACAACTTCTTGTACTTTTCTCGTAAGTACGGTCTGGAGACGCAGCATTCTGGCTGAATGAAGAAACAGTTTGAGCATTGATGTTTGTGCCATTTTGCGAATCCACTACTAATCAACAGAAACATCCGAATATTACTGTTTCGATTTCGTACATCTCCAAATGTGACGGCTTTTGATCTTCATTAATTGCTTTTCACGTCGTGTGATTCCAATAAAATGGTCATTATCTATGAGAAGTCAATATTCAGAAATCAATCCTTGCACTCCCTTTGTACTGCTGAATTTATATGAATCACGCGCCTTTTCAATAGTATCGTGAACATACAAATCCAATATCCAGTAACACGTGTTATTTATAATCAGTAAAGGCTCATGTGGGCGTGGATTCAGCTTTTCATTGTGAAAGGCGAATCCTATTGATGAGATCGCATATAATAGCTTAAGCGAGAATACGCTCTATTCGTACAGCAATGACTTTAATTATGTTTAGAGATAGAGGACCACGGTTTGGTGAAGGAGACCGTCAAGGGACTGGCAAAGGGCCTCGAGGGAGGGCGTCGCCTTTTTTCCTCCCTCAGCATCTCCAGCGTTCAAATCCTTGGTAAGTAATGGAGCACTTGTCAATTTGTGTTCAGCGATTGTACTGATTTGATTTCTTAGCTAAGTCTATAACGCACCCTTTACTAATCTTGATTAATCTATCATTTAATCGATAATGCATTGATGCACCGGCGCTGCAAAGATTGCGCGTAAAATATGACTTGAAGTGCTTCGAATTTGAATTTGAAGAACAGTTGTGGATTTCAAGAACATCCAATTAGGGACAGAGGAAGAACTTATGAACTGTTCAACTGAAGAATCACAGCGCATTGCTAGCTTCGTCTCTAAAAAGCTGATGCTTTTTAGAGACGAAGCTAGCATGAACGGAAGGAGCTGAAAAAACTAGAATACACTAAAAAACTGTTACACAGCTGTCATATATATTTGAAGGGTTTAGCAGTTTAATCGCATACCGTTAAAAATAATCAAGCTTAGTAGTATTCTTTTGCCCACATCTGAGACATTCGTTATAGGGATGACGCCGATCGTGGAGAGTGCGAAAACTCACGCGAGATCTACAATCAGTACTCGTTAGTATAACAGATGTGTACAAACTTTCATTGGCTGACTGACTTTTTAGTGATGGATATCCGTCAGACATTCGAAAGTCATCTCGGGGATATTATGACAACGGAAGGAGCAATGCGCATTACAATCACCAAAGAAACTCTTATGATGATTATAAAGAATCGGATGATTATTATGGGCGCAATCAGAGACATCAGCGAGAATACACTAATAGTTCCTATAAAAACTACGACAATGATAGACGCCCCGGAGGTCAAAATTTGAGGGAGCAGCGATCTTTTGACAATCGCGCTGGAGACTACAATGGGCGCAAGTAAGGGCGATTCCTTTATTTTTATCTCGTCTGCCACTTATAACAGTGAGTATAAAGAACGCTCCTTTCAGGCAGTCTCGTAGCAAGTACTTCTCAGATGATCCTCCTGACAGTTACCGTGAGGAAATAGAAGAAAAGAGAAGGTGAGTATTTTCATGAGCCATGCATTTTCTTTCCTATGATCGCTGTACTCTACCATGTACTCTTTCGTTTCTGCTTGGAGCTATTATTGATCACACTGAAAATAGTATCATGAGGTACACTGATGCTAATCACCGATACCCAAGTTTGTAAGTCTGACTGAGCAAGTGATTTTTTGGAGCCTTTTCGGGGCAGAAAATAGCTGTGACTGGCGTCAGGTTGCCGCTTTCTACGATTCGCACAGTAATAATAAATATTGAGTATATTTCTACACAATGAACTCTAATTTGGAGCCAGCTCTATAAAAAGATACCCGAAGACAAAATAAATACATGCGAAATAGTCACTAACGACTAAACAGCATATACATGCTACTAACATTCCTGTAAGTCCTCCGTATAATAGTGGGTCACTTGTTATAAATTTTGCAGGAAATGGTTGAAGGAGCAGGAAAGACTAGAACAAGAACAGCACTCCTACTACGATCTCTCAGCAAATCACACTTATGCTAGAAACAACCGGAGGAGTGGCGGTGGAAGGAGGGATGAATCATACGGAGATTATCGTGAACGAACTTGGCAGTCGAATTCCAATGGTCCAAGAGAGCAGCGCGGTTTTGAGAATTCATATAATAAGCAAAACTATGGCGAGAGAAGAACATCTATGAGAGGAGATCAGCGTCGTGGGCGTTGGGTGGAAAACGAAGGTTTTGGGTGAGTGTTGCGACTTTCTTTAATTATTGCTCTTTTCCGTTACAATTAAAGATGTGAGGTATGAATTTGGTCATTAATCTTAATTTCTACTTTGAAGAAAAGCTGTCGATGCAAAATTTCAGCAATAATTGTGAGAGAAGAAATGCAAGACAGAATTTGAGCTTTTCGCACAGAAATGATGAAATCAGAAGTCATAACTCCGTTAACGATATGGATAAAACTGAAAGTGAGGACAATTAAGAATCATGGACTAAAGTCGTTCTCACATCGCATATCTTCAGATGCCACTGTTCCTCATTCTGGAAATGAGCAAAGATCAAAGCAAGAGACCGTCCTCCATGAAAAAGTTTGTGATGTGGACACATCTGTTAGGCGGAACATAATATGGTTTTTCAGTCAAATGAACGAGATGAGAATGAAACCTCTTCCAAAACCGATGACCTTTGTAATGCACTCGAGAACGCATCTGTGCAGGACAGTCCGCTTGACAATTCTGATACCGAGAGTGATTGCGGTAAATTTACTTCAAGTTTGAATTTGCCTACTTTCGAAGCTTAGATTACGTCAATATAATGTTATTGCCTTGCATACCTGCCGAAATATTCATGGGTTACGTGAGTGGGATCACGCACAATCAGTGGCGTGTATGATTGTGACTGAATGGCTCGCTATTCTCCGACCCAAGCTCAACTATTGTCGCTTGTAACTCCTGCTACTTATCTCTTACGAGCGGTGCCCATGCATATTCGGATGCATGCATTCTTATACGGAAGCTGGATAGGGGGATTAATTACGCCATTGCCAAGTGACAGCTCATTAATTAGCTTTTGAGCGTGATACGGGGCGGTTCAGCTAATGAAATGACAAAAATAGGAATCCCACTCTATTTTATTGTCTGTTAGTTACCTAAAACATTCAGCTAGTGAAGTGACAACAGTTGGAATCTCATTTCATTTTGTCGCCTGTTTTCTGTCCAAAAACAATATCCAGTCCACCGTTTCCGTTCTAGATCACTTTTGACGCTGATAGAGTACATGCTGTGGCCCTCTGTGTCGCTTGAAAGTAAATCGCAATGAGGTCAACTCGCAATAGCAGCAATTCAGCAGATGACGTGTGCAAGGAGAAAATTTCGCATTTGTTATTTCAGTGTATATTGACTCTATTATGAGCTTACGGATATAGTGTGTCTTTGTGACGCCATGGTGTGTACTTTTCTATTGGATGTTGGACTATGATTTGCTGTAAGACATCGTAGAATGCAATACTGTCGCAATATTTGAGTAGAGATACACGTCCTCGTACTCGCTAGGTGGATTCTGAGGTTACAGTCTGAGTGCTTTGTTCAATGGTGGAAGTGCAGGAAGTGCCATCAATGATTTCGAGTGCGTCATCGCAAACAACGTCCTAAATCGTCGCAGCATATTTGTTTTAAAGGGATTTCATGATCGCTGTCTCTTGCGCAGGGTTACGCAGCAACCATTGTGATGCGTCTCTATAGTTTTTCGCCCCTCAATGGTCCTTGCCTTTTGAATCTTGCTCGTTCTCCTATGTATTGCTTGCTAAAAATATGTTGGTGGAAGCAGCTAAGTGTTTTTTTTTTCGGTGATTCAACTGCGTCTGATAAGGAGCGTGACAAAGCTGCAAACTGTCATGTGACGCTAGAAGCATATTTTGATCGTTATTTTCACAGACGTTTTAGTCATCGATAAGCGCTGGTTGACAAGGATTACTTTTTTTATTACTTGAAGCTGCAGCGAAAGACAGGCAGTATTTTCTTACTGGCTTTTTGTGAGTAGGACAATTAAGCAATAGAATTTTTTATGCTTATCGGAACCAGAAACTTATTATGATCTAGTGTGAAACCTTACGGAACTAGGAATCTACAAAAATAGCGTTAGACAGCGTTCAGAAACATCACTCGATATCTCGCCAACAATCAAATCTCAACCGAACCTTTTAAGAGAGGATGTAGGCAATAATCCTGAGAATGCTGCTTGTGTTTGAGTTCTTTGAGAGTCAATTTTACGCAATGAGTTTGAAAGAATTTTTTTTTTCATTTTGAAGAAGAAAGCTGGAATGTAGGAGAAGAAATGATGCGAAGAGTCATGATACGCATCTATCTATTAGGTCGTGTAATAAGTTCTGTCCCATTTTTTGTTTTAATTTTTTCTTGACAACAATGACTATATTTGAGACGAAGTGTATATGCTTTTGAAAGCGCCAGGTCTGATCTGCAGGCTCATATGCATCATTCCCCAACATAGCAGGAAAATGAAAAAGATTTTTATCATTGAAACAAAAAATCCGAAGAGCCGAAAAATCAATTTTCGACATCTTTTTTCCTCCAAATTTTTCTCGATTTTTATTGATAAAACTTATTAAACAAGCTTGACAACAACGAAAACAATCTATTAGGATTTTACTCTTATTCTATCACTGTTCGCACATGTCTCCTTCCTTCCACCGGCTATTTGATGACATTTTTTTGAAAGTCGGCAGGGCAAGACTATGTCACGGCGATGTTCGCCGTCTCGCGTACCCAAGCTGTGTGGCTCCCATTTGAATTTTAAGTATTTAAGCTACGAATTCGATATAATTTTGGATCCACAAACCATCCCTTCTGTCTCTTCTGGATGATCTCTTCCCTCAGGTGCCTTCAGATGATGCCCAACACCAACGTTGAAAAGGCATCAGAAAGAGGACTTTTCTAAAGCTACAGAAATGATTTTTAAAGAGTTTCAGCACTCCTGAAGCGCAATAGAAGCTAGAGCATTCTTTTCTTACGTGTAGCTAATTCTTCGAGCTCATTCGCAGGCATTCTGACTAATTAGGAAGGCGACGTAACGCAGTTGTCTAAAATGGACTTTTTCCCTGTTTGATTTTCCAAATTTAATGCTGTAAAACTTTTTCAAGTCATCTGATGTAGTAAATCGAAATGAAAGTATTTGTAGAGAAGGCTTAGAGCTTTCAAATGCATATAGACAATTCTTATAACATCGCGCAAAATATTGGGAAAAAATCGAAAGAAAAAATGGGACAGAACTTATTACACAACCTAATAGATATCAGCTTCAAATCTGACACGCAATAATTTTCTCTAGTACATCTCTAGAATAATGATATTAAACTTCGGCGCTCATTGCGTTAGTGTCTCGAGGGGTTCCATCGTCATCTTTAGTGTAGTCAATTTATATGAACTGCATGTTTCACTGACCCTATTATGCCGGTAGCTAACGGTAGCTATTGTCATCCATGTCACTTTCCACTTCATTTTTGCAGCTATGCTTCACGAACATGTGTAGTTTTAATATCAATCTGGAAACAAGGGCTATTAGTCGTAGTCAGGATACGGTAGATGCCGTACCGTATACAGTCAAATAACCACCGCTGCGTAACATTCTTAATCGAAATTCAGGCAGCATGGTCTGAGCTTTCTGCCGCATATGTCTAGCTTCCCTACTTGACTCCATAAAACACAGGTGCCGTGCCAAAAGATATCATTTTCTCTGTTAGCATACAAAGAACCTAGTTGTAAGCATGTCAACTGGAAACTCGAAGCATGACTCAAATTCGCTGCTCATAATTGCTGCGATGTGCGGTTTTTTCTACTTTCGTACATTGCTACATATTGAAATTTTTCTTTTTACGTATTAATGCGATCCGAGGGTTAGGAACGCAAAATCGTAAATATTAGATCGTCCCAAAAGTTCGTATATACAATCTTCTATTCATAACTTCTGATTTTTCCGACCGCTTTGACTGCTTTTATTTGTGTATGAATAAATGAGCGGTAGAAGAAAATATTCAGAATTTGAATTTTCTGTGTGGGGTCATAAATCTGAAACTTTAAAAATTTGAGCAGTTGGTATTATAGGTTCCATTACCTATACTTTCTAACAATGCAAAGTTTATGCTGATTGAACATTTCTATGAAAAGCTAAGACTTTCGAGCAAGCAATACAAGAAGGCAATTTTGGTTTATCTTGGCATTTCTCTCTTAAATCATAACTTTTGGTAGAGACGTTTAATAACACAAGCTTTGAATGGTTAGGGAGAGCAGGTAACAGAAGCTTTAATATCAACTGCTGCGATTTTATTGCTTTCAGATTTTTTATGACTCCACACATAAAATTCAAATTTTGAGTTATTTTCTTCTACCGCTCCTATCTATGCAACAGATGACCGCTAGTAAGGCTTGATACATACCTCGCTGCTTAGGTATGGACAAAATGTGCGAGCAGCGAGAGCAGCGCTGCTTGAGCTGAGCAGCGCTGCAAGGAACGAAGGATTGCTGCCCCGCAACACCTCAAAACACGCGCTGCGTCCTAACTAGGGCGCGATAAATGCCTCAATACATAATTATCGTTTGCCCTTGTTTTATGGGGTCACTTGCGCCTCAGTTCGTTTATCACTTGATTATTTTATGCATATGTGTTGGTCGTGTGACGTCGACTTCCTTCTTTTTCTTTCATTGCATTATTTTTCAATTTTATCGCGATATTCGCAAAAAAGGCAGAATGGGATGATGAATCTTTGACAAAAATTGAAAAAAAAGGAAGAAAACTATCCAAAACACGCAAATTTCAAAAAAAATGAGTTCAAAAACACATAAAATCAGCTGTTGCAGCTCAAAGCAGCTGAGATCAGCTCACAGCAGCTGAGATACGCTCAGAAAAAGTGAGCGTAACTCAGCTGCAAAATCCAGTTGCAGCGCTGCTCAGCTTGAGCAGCGCTGCGCAGCGCTGCTCAGAATTGAGACGCTAGGTATGGACATGACCTTTCAAGTTAGCTGCTGCAGCGCTAAGCAGCGGCGTCACTCCGCTGCAATCAATACGCACTAAAAGCGTTGCTGCCACCGTACGTATGGACACCCGCCGCCAGGTATGTTTTAAGCCTAAGCAGCTAATGTCATTATAAAGATCATGACTTACAATGAATGCAAAAAATGTGTTTTCGATTTGATGTTATGAAATTATTCATAGAACTTTCACAGAATTTGCATCATGCAGTCACTGTCGTCTGTGAACAATTGCCCTCAAAATCTCTCTTTCGTCCAAGATTCAAAAAACTCAATATTTCTGAGTTTATATCTATAGTTGCTCAAGAATCGTTTTTAGAGTGAAGCATCGGGTCAAATTTTAGCGAATGAATTTCTTTGATGTAAGCGATAGCCGCAGTATCCTGCTTCCTTTGGATCTAGAAGATTAGCAGGAATATTGCGTATTCTTCAACTAAGTGAGGTCGTGACGAATTGAAAAGAATGATTACTTTCCGCAGAAATTGCATCGATTATCGATCGCGACAATCATGTTCGCTGCGATGTGAATTGCTCAGAGAACCTTGTAAACATGGAGGGAATAGTTGCACTTTGGGAAATCGGCGGAGGTTACGCTTTGCATGCTATGGGTTGGGGGGGGGGGGGAAGAGGCCAATAGCCTGTTGCGAAATTCGTGGCCGAGAGCTCAGCGACGTCAAGGCCTTGATACAAAATCGCTCATTACTGTGCATAAAAGCCTCCATAAGTTCTCTTTCAGAAATTTTTCGCAGATTTCTGCTTTGTTTCCACTTCTTCCGGTCTTATTGTTTGATTATAATGTGCCATCATACAAGAGAATTGGTACCATTCCACATTAGTTGTCCCAAAAATGAACATTTCGCTGAAAACTCGTCTAGACGTTTCATTCTGCACGCTGATTACTAATATTGCACTTATTTTGCGAGGGAGTGCCCGGTGGAGTTACGATGGGATTACGGTAGGAAGCCACGGATTTGCTCCGAACTTCGTCTAGGGGGGGTTATTTGGCACACTGAACACGAAAATCGTATTCATTTCTTACCGTAGCTCCCTTTTCCCGGGTTACGGTGTGTATACGATGGATGGCTAAAAATTCCGAATTCGCTCTAAACTTGGTCTGGAGGGGTTCTCAGGCACGTTGATCACGAATATTCCACTCTTTTTGCGTTTTGGAACTTTTACGCGGAATTACGATAGAACGGTAGTTGGGCTAAGTGATGGATCTGCGCGAACCTTTGTGTAGGAGTGTTATCTGACATGCTGATCACGTATGTCGGTCTCGTCTCGCACGATAAAACCTTTTTGTAGATTTTTGCAACCTAAATTTGGCTGAAATGTGGAAAAGTTGCTTCTCACCCACTGTAGCTCATCGTAACCTCAACAATAAGGCATTGGTAGCGAACGAGCACGATATTTCAATCAGCATCCTCAAAAACCCATTCAGGAAAAGTTTTGAGGAATTTCGGAATCCTTCTATCTACCGTCTAGTATGCCCACCGTAACTCGAGAAAATGGTGCTACCATAAGAAATGAATATGATATTCATGTTCAGCTTGTCAAATAATCCCCCTCTACGAAATTTGGGGCAAATCCTTGATTTCGACCCCCTACCGTTATCCTATCGGAAGAACGACTATTGGCTAAATTACTGTGTTCATTATCTCGAAAGAATTTTTAAAACACTTCGAAAGAATGATTTTTGATAGCAGCAATGACAGCACCCGCAATCCTCAGCTCATGAACACTTTTAGTAAATGTACTATCTACAAAAATTGTCCATGTACTCTTGCCAACAAAAGTTTACTTCTCAGAAAACTCATTCCAACTTTTTTGATTCTCGAATGTAATTCGACGCGTAGAAAAATGTTCAAGAACGAAATTCTCGCAGATGAGCCTTTCCGCGATGTAAACAACCGTGTACGACTCTATAGTTTGATGGCTCATGTAGTTTCGGTCATTCCCGTTCTGCACTTTTCTTGCAAATGGCTGCGCATCGTCTGACTCGAGAGATGCGCATACCTGTGCCCTTTTTACTTGACCAACCGTCTGGTGCTACTCATTTCGTCGCGTTTTCCTTTTTATCTTTAATAGCGTCTCAAAAGCTTACTTCTTCATGCTTTGCTCCATAAGTTGTTATTTGAAGTATCTCTTTTCTTATCGTTCATTTTGCGATCGTTTCGAACGACCTAGACCAATATGACGAGAAAAGGCGGCAATGTGCCGAGAAATGATAGCAATATGCCAAAAGGCGATGGCAAATGTCGTGGACGTGGCAAGCCAAAGCGCGGACATACTGATCTCAGTTCAGGTCCATATCCGTTTTTTTACACCATAGTTTTATTTGAATCATAATTGTCTGACATTAACAGAGCAGTTAGCGCCGGCATCCATTTTTCCGTTTTCCAAACTTTGTAAGTGGTTGTCATTTTTGTATGGTTATTTTTCCTGCTGATCATTACTAGCTTGCATTCCAGTGATATCACCCTTGTCTGATATGAAGTCCATCATATCGAATCTACAATATTTAAACGAAGAGATACAGTCTGATTATTGGAACCGCGGTCAATAGTGTACCTTTCAGAGAAAGGCTTACTGTAGTTTTGTGGCTGCCGGCACGCAGTAGAAAAGTTTCACTTCGGCAGTTAGTCACGATGATTAGTTTTTACCAATTTTTTTAAGCGGTATCAAGATCTTCCAAATGGCATCCTGTTTGTGATGTTTTTTTCAATCAGTTCTTGCTCCACTTGTGACTGCGAATGCGTGGGGATACATTACTGTGCGCTGTGTCTTGCTTCTGTGGTATCCTGCTTGAGTTACAAGAGAAAATTCGGAGAGTTGCGTCATATCACGCAGAAAGTAGTCCTTGCTAGATGCACAACCACTCCTTCGTTCATTTTATGCTGAAAAATTGCGTTTATCTGAATTTGTTGCTCTAGTCTGGGTTCGCCCTCATTCGCCTCAAAACGTGCAAGTTTTTGGCAGGATTCAGTATATAAAGAAGACATGTTATAAACGTCCGCTGTTACATCTGCCAGTGCATCCCATTTCAACAGTACCCAAGCATTATGATCATGTGTCAATAATATCATGACCGTTTTTTTGGGGTAAATCGCGATATTTGTCATTATTTACACAGATTAATCGGATAGTTTCAAAGTTTCCTGTCATGGAAATAATGAAGTCGATTGTCAGAGGATTGTGCTGGGTATAGAATCTTCATTAGCGGAACTGCATGGCAATCGGGCTAAAGTCAGGGATATATGAGATCATTTATTAGGTCTAAATCGCAGCGACTACTATAGCTGAAGCATTCCTTGTGGAGAGTTCCCGGGGTGGCTCAAAGATCGTTTGGCTCTAATGAAAGTATTTCTTCCTATAGCTTTTCGGTAGAATCATGAAAGATTTTTCTTTACTGTTAGACGAATTCGATGTTGAGGCAGGTTGTTTCTAGGCTTCGCACTTTTCTCAGTGTTTTAGCTTGATAAATGCGACAGGGGTGTTCATCAATGATTGCTTCTGCGAAGATTATAATTTGAGAGAAATCTGAAGTGAGTGTTAGAATTTCAAGGCTTGTAATTATACAAATGCGTTTGTTCCAAATTTGATTAATTTCAAGTTAGCTGATCGGATTCTATTGCAGTTTTTTTCACAGTTTCCGCCAGTTTGTTTTGCCGTCTTATCAAAGTGTTCCAGACCTCAGAACTCGCCCAGAACAAGACCCCACTTCGACAAAAGCTGCTGGTCCATCCGATCTTCCCTCTAGCAGTTCGACTGTTCCTGCAGCTGCTAGCCCCTCCAGCCTTCCACCTAGTAGTTCGGCTGTACGCGCGGCTAGCAGCTCTCCAAGCGAACCAAAGGAGGAACCGGGTGCTGTAGTGTTGGCGCCCAAGAAGGAACCTGCTACGAGACAAGGGAAAGAAAGGGTAAGGTTGCCGCATGCCGTTTTATCATAAATCAGATTTGGTATTTTTAGGTTCATCTACTTACTAATTTCTGGGAACTGACGGTGAATAGCAAAATTGTCTATCGCTATGATGTGGCTGTATACTTGAACACACCTGCAAAAGAAAGAGCTGTCGATCTTTTGAGGGGTCCACGCGATGAGTGAGTATTTTTTGACTTTTCGACGCGAAAATTACGTTAATCTGAAGACATGGGGCGTTGCTCTTACAGCTCTGAGAATACGAGAAGGCATCGTCTTTGCATGGAAGCTCTTCAACATGCGTTGCAATTCTACAGTATTATCAGCCAGTATTCTGCTTTTGTTCATGATGGGGCTTCAATATTGTTTTCATCCGAGGATCTCAGTGCGGCATTGAAGGAGGTGAATGCGTGTTTTTATCATTGGCAGTTTTTCAATCATTTTTATCATTTATTATGCCTGTTAGATTTTTTTATTCCTTGACTTTTTGCGTTAGAAGATTATACAGCCATCTCACCTGGTCCTCTTCTCTTCCCTCCATGAAGCGATTTTCTTGGAAATGCTAGGCTGCATTCCTTGTACTTGTCGACAACTTTGGAGACCGCCAATTGGAACCTCTTCGATTCAAAATAACTTTAGTGCATCATTACATGGAATTTATTTATTTATTTATATTTATATAATACGCTCATAGGCGTGCCACTTTGTTAGTAAACCAACAAAAACCAACAAACATAAGACGTCAATGAAGTTAGTAATACATCAAAGGGATTTAAGAAAAACACGAAAACATGAAAAGGCATTCAGTCTCGGTATGAAAAAAATGCGGCGATTGAGAATTTGGATCCGCGCAGGCCAAAGAACACTGATTCGAGGAACCGTTGTCGCCAACGTTAACAACACAGGTGCAAGAACCAATGGTAGAAGGAGAATAGAACGATCAGAAGACCCAACCTAAACATCTGCTATATGCAAATATTCCAGTACATTTATAGATCCTAACTTTTTGCGAAAAGAGGATGCGTTTTTACTAGAAATTATTTCTTGAGGTAAAAGGCTTAACCATCTTGTGGTTCGACAGGGCGGAATAGGGCTGTACACAAAAAAGTACAGAGGAAATGAAGAAAGTTGGCGATGGATATCGCGCTCCGTAACTGTATTATACCAACTTAATTTTTTACCATCCATGGGGGGCAGCAAGCACACCTAGTATTGGAATTTTGTAGCATATGAACTAAGGTGCTTAGTTTTAGCACAATGGGATACTAAATGTGATGAAGAGCGAGCTGCCGGAAAGTACCAGAAATCTCATCTGTCGAGTGGATGTGGATTCGATAACAATCGAGATCACACCTTGCACGGCAACTCCATCGTTTGATCTGGCAGATTTGCGCGCGCAGGTAAGAGTGATTTGTCAGAAGACGTCAGAATATCATTGCTTTTTTTTAGAGAAATCGGAACTGGGCCACGTTGGATCGTTCTTGGAAGCAGTTCTACGAGCTTATCACCAATTACGATGCCGTGCTTAGGTTACAAAGGATCTAGTTGGAAATTGTGAAGTTCATCAATTTCTTACAGCGGACGCTACACACAGTTTGGAGCTGGTTCTCTCTTCTATAGCGCCCCACTCGAGGAAAGGGTTGGTTTTGGTTTCGAAAGATTTGAAGGCGCACGGAAAGGAATCAAGTTAGTGCCGGCTTCTTCTATCCCTGGCATTATTTCTATCTTGTCACTCTAGGTTCATCGAGGGGAAAAAGCGAGGTGCAAATAGTGTGGTACCTGCATTGATACTTGACCGTTAGTAGACTCTTATCCCTTTCAGCTTCTCCTCCTGCCATCTTCAGCTTGTTTCAGACCGCGTCGGAATGTTTTTCAAAGAACAGAATCTTATGAAGAGCGTGCACGAAATGCTCGGACCACGTGCCAGGGGCATGCAAAGATTTGATTTCTCTCGCAATAATTATAATCGCATGAACAAAACATGGGTAGAAGTCTACAATTATGTCAAAGGTAGGAGTTTTTGATTTCATTTACTTGTTTTTGATATAGGTCTAATTTATTTTTACTAAAAAATATATGCACTTTTTGGCCTTTTGTAACAATTTGATTATTTTGAAACGCAAAAGTCAGCAACGCGCCAGCGCTTGATAAATTTTGAATTGTTTCAAGGTCTGCGTGTAAATCTTATTGGAAATGCTACAAATCCGCTTAGTTTCGTAGCAGTAGGAATCAGCGATCAGCCAGTAGGAGAACTGGAAGATACATTTTCGGATAGGTAAGTTATGAGTAGATGATTTTTGAATTCTAATCAACAAGTTTGCAGAAGAAGAGGCAAGATAAAACTCGTGGAGAAATATGCGGATCATCATGTTAATCCCTATTGGCCGGCTGTAAAGTATCGTAGTCCTAGTTGCGTACAGTATTTTCCTATGGAAGTGTTGATCGTTGCCCCTCATCAGCGGGTTTCGCTGGAGAAGCAGCAAATTGCGAATTCAGTCAGTTACTTTTTTCTTTCTATTTGCAGAAAAAGAGCATTTATGTATTGTTTCAGGTCCCACGTGCTGACAAGCCTGACAAACGTTACGAAAAAATCCATACTTTGCTTGAAGCACTGAATCTTCATAAATCTGGAAGCATGAATGAGTTCTTGAACGCGTAAGTTGATGTTTATTCAAGCTCAACTCAATACGCGCTGATTTTTTTTTCAAGATTTGGCATAAAAGTAGCTGTGGCACCTAAGGAAGTTGACGGCATCAGACGTGCTGCTCCTGGAATTGTCTTCGGACATCAATGTGAACCTGCTATCGATAAGTTCAAGGTTGGTGAAATTTGTCCATGGATTATTAAAATGCACTGTACTTCAGTACAACTGGCGTCAAGATCGTAATACCCAGTATGTGAATAGCGCTAGCGTTGAACGCATAATCATTGTTCATAGCGACGACACATACCAAGAACCAAAGTATTTCTTATATTTTTTGTATCATTATATTAATCTCATCTCACTTGTTCAGGGAGTTGAGGGCCGCATTGGAGCCAATGTACAGAAATCGTGGAATTAAATATATTCGCTTCGAAGATGTCTACATCAAGAGAGGTAGGGACGAAGACATGGAAAAAGAGTTGGAAGAGGTAAGTGTCCTTGCATTTTGCTATCAATATGTATGTATTATCGTCTACGTATTCAGTTGTTCAAAAAGAATAAGGGATCGAAATCACTGCTGATCATTTACATAGATAGGGCTGAGAGCAAATCACACGGTAGTCTTTCTGTTTTCAATGTGTGGTGATTTTATCAGCGATAGTTGCAGAGTTTTTGAAATTGATGGAACGTAAACACCTGATTCCTACCCAACAGATAACCTCTGAAATCGTCTCAAAAATTAGAAGGTGCGTTAACATCATATCGCCTCCGTTTCCGATATAACTTGATTTTTTTAGACAAATTCAGACCTGTAGTAATTTTGTCTCGAAAACTAACCTCAAATTGGGCGGCATCAACTACAACGTCATACCTGAAGCTTTCGCGTGGGTTTTTATTCCGACTCTAATCTAGAAGTTTGTCTTATTTTTGCCAGCTCTTAGTATTATAGGAAAAATCGTTGGATTGCCTGTGGTACAACATTGGTTGTGGGGTATGATGTAGCTCATCCTGGAAAACCTTCGCGAGATGAAATCATGAATCATATGCCTCCACAGAGGCCGAGCATTGTTGGAGTAAGTTGTACTCTCTGAAATCTCTTAATTTGTTGACGACCGCATGCATACGAGCGTATTCAGGTTTTGTCTTCCGTTTACACGCGCATGCGTTCGTGTTCAAGTTAGTATACTGTAATAATACTGGCGGGCTGACTGTCTTATAGAACACAGGGCATCGCGCAGCAGTTCAGGAGTTTAACCCGCATTTTAGGTGTTTTGTTGGCTTTTGATGTGGTAAATGTGTGCTATAGAGGACTATATGCCGCCGAAAGGCTCCACCCCGCGCGGCATTTGGTACAATTCTGTAATGTCTCTGATGTATGGAGCTGCATGGTCTATCGCAGATGTAATGGGACCATTTTTTGGCGTCAGAAGTCCTCTTCCCTTTTATTTTTTTTCTCCCAAAAGGCAATTCTGTATAGCTGCCCTGAGAGTGATCAAAGATAAATTCAAGCAAAAAAAAAACATCCAACATCATAATACTTTTCTTGAAGCGAGATTTCCCAGATATAGCCATTGCATGGTTTACTGAAGGGAATCGATGCAAGAAAATTATACGTTTATCAAGATTCTGCAACAGAAATGTGATTCTGTGAAGACTTCGCATGTTTTATGAGTAAGTGTCGCAAAACTTTCACATGATAATTTCGTGCATACGCGCGTATGCACGAAATATCATATGAAGATTTTGCGAGAACGTTTATGAAAGTTTCGCTCAAAATGGCTCGGTCGTCAACCGTTAAAACAGAAACTTAAAATATAGCTATACCGCTTTTTAGGTTTCATTCAACGGAGCAGCACATCCCGAGTCTTTTATTGGAGATTATCATTTCCAAACTCCGCGTCAGGAAAGAGTGGGTTTCAAGTTTTGCTTGACAGTGACTGAGGAAATTTTTTCTCAAATTCAGGTCGATAGTGCTTTGTTGAATGCCAGATTCAAATGGATGCTTGACTTGTTTACGAAGAATCGAGGGGTTTGGCCTGAAAGAATTGTCATCACTCGCGATGGAGTGTCTGAAGGACAGTATCGCATGGTGGGTTAAAACTGTATCTTGTGAACGGTCTGTGATCGAAGTGGTATATGATTGAAGGTGATAGAGGATGAGCTGGGCGCTATAAAAGAAGCATGCGAGGAATTTGGGAATCTGCATGGTCGGGATTCGTGGATCCCACCGTTCACTGTGATTGTGGCGACAAAACGGCACCATGCGCGTTTTTTCAAGGAACACCACGGAGGTAATTCAGAAGCTTCAATCACTACGTTATCTTCGAAATACATCTCGGCTTACGCTTCGACTATCACAAAGTTCAGTTGTCGACAATCCTTTGCCTGCAACAGTAGTGGACACGGATGTCGTTAGGAACGACATAACCGAATTTTTCATGCAAAGTCACCGTCCTGTGCAGGTAAATGGATGTACAAACACGTTTTCTGTTTTCTAACAGTTTATTTTGCAAACAGGGTACAGCAAAGCCTACATCTTACCAAATTATCGTCGACGAAAATGAAATGGGCAGTGATGAAGTACAGTCCTTAATGTTGGCTCTAACTTTCCACCATCAGGTATTCGACAAATGCCTACGTATATAACGTATCAGTGGCGTACCGAGGGGGGAGGCGGGGCCCCCCCCCCCCCCCCAGAACGGGTCGCGAAATTTTTGAAAGTTACTTACATGAGTTATAAAAATGCGCAAGTGACTTGTTTGTACTTGTAAATAATTAAAATACATTTTAGCATTATAAAAATTTTTTTTCGGGGGCGTGGCTGACGCCACGCCCCCTTTTTCCAGATTTTAGGGGTCGGGGACCCGCAAAAATTTTGAGAAACACCTTTTTCGGAGTGCGTGGCTAACGCCCCCCCCCCCGAGCCGAAATCCTGGGTACGCCACTGTAACGCATATATGTGCAATGAATAAAGTTTAGATAAGTGACGCACCTGTATCTCTACCGGAGCCAGTGTATCAAGCGGATGAGTGGGCCAAGAGAGGAAAAGATATCTGGAAAGCATATACGTGAGTGAAAATATTTGCTGCAGTTTTAACGATTTTGTTCTTGCCATCAAAATTAAACCAACTTTCTTTCACGATTGCACGATTCTCCTCTTTTTCCATTGTTCAGTTTCGATCCTCCATCCTATTGTAATCTTTCTTTATTAAAATGATTAACCTTTTTTCATATCACTGAAATGTATTTGCGAAAGATAGATCTTGGATAAGTAGCGTTTTAAATCGATAGGTTTTATGAAATGTGTTATGCACTGATTATGAGAGGCCTAATAATTTTCGAGCTTGAAATGAAAGATTCCAGGCTCTCAAAAAGCCAGTCTTACTTTGCATTCAGAAATATAGAGAACCGATCGTGAATTTTGCTGATCATGATCACTCATCCCTCCAGTGATGACCACTGATCATGATCAGTGTCATCATCACTGGAATGGCAGGCGAGAGATCAGATATTGAAGAGATAGTATCGCGCACCCCATAACAGCGCGCGAATAGGATCGCACCGGTATCGCACTCCGCGTATCTCGCAGCCACTACCGTTTTTGCGGTATACTTCGAACACAGTACGCGTTGAATCGTGATGATAACAATGACAAAGTCTTTAAAATGCGGAAACAAAACGGATGCCTCGCTTACTGCATGCGGAGGCAACGTTTCAATTTGTGCCCGTACTTTGCCGGCTCATGGCCAGCCATGAGCGCAACCTGGTACAGCCGGTCTTTGCTGCCTCTGTGATTTACCGATCTTCTTGCTCATGCGCTGCAGACCATGAGGACCAATAGTTTGCAGAGCATCTGGCGTAAAATTTTGTGTTGCGACGGTACAATGATAGCTCGTAGGGTCATTGTTTTTGATGTTTGCTATCAAGTCTCTTTGATACGCTTAATTCTACATCGGCGGGTGAAACTGCAAATTGGAGCCGTTTGAATGGAATATAGCAGGTGTAAGAGATCTGTTTGCTATTTAGCGCTCATGACGTGTGTAGTCTCAAATATAAAGACTTGATAAGTTGTAAGTTTTCCTAGGTTTCTGTTCATAATTCAGCATGTTTAGTGATCGTCATAATGTGCTGAAATTGGATTCACAAGGCGAATACGCGGATTTCCCTATTGACTTTGAAGCCATGACGAAACGTTTGGCATACTGGAACACGAATCTGCAGTGTTATCGAGTGAATGCTTGACTGCTTGATGATCTTTTGCGATGCTTGGTGTAATAATCACATGTACCTATATGTATCAATATTTATCAAATTGTTGTTAATGTTTCCTTCTCACTCGTGGCTGAAATCTTACTAAAAACGGTTTGACCATCGCCTTTTCTGCAATACTCTGCTTGTTGTTTTTCTCGTTGTTTCTCGGTTTTGCATGTATCATAATATTTTTTCCATGTAAAAATTTCTTCGCTTACAAATAGCAGTAGAAGTTTGCTTATCGAACACAGTTCTCATGTAAACTGCATGAATAAAGTAGATTAGCTTTAAATAATCTGTTCGGTATGCAAAATGTTAACAACTTTGAAAGCGCCGTCCACCCAGATTCTCGACTTCCACGTTTTGGTCGTTCTGGGCCTTCTTGTGTCCCTGATTCCGAATATGGAGTCGAGAACCCACGGAAACCCGACAATCCCCTTTGCGGAGAACTCGCAGGTCGTTTCTCTTGAACGGTGATTGGATGGTGGGGCACAGTTGGGCGGGCATGGATGGGGAGGGCTCGTTTTCGAAGGGACATTTTGCGCCGCGGCTTGGGCATTGGCTTGATAGGAGCCCCTACTATCATACGCTGCCAAAAGCTAAAAACCCTCAACTTTGGGTGGAGGATGCCTTCAACAAAGGAGTTGCAGTGGCTTTTTGAGATAAGATAGGTATCGCTCAACGCAGGAAACGCTGTTACGACTTCTATCAAGCTGCACCACTTATTTTGGTGGAGAGCTACTGACCTCAGTTAACAGCAGAATTGCAAACAGTAACCGGAACTAACAATCCTATGTGTTTTAAAACCAGTTGGAACAAGGATGCTTATGCTCATGCAGATTGCGGTGCTAAAAATGCCCGTAACTCCCCTCGAATTTTGTTCTGCATCAATGTTGCAAGCTGCGTTCGAGGATATCTATTTCCGGCAAACCAGGAACAACTTCTATTTTCCTTGTAAGTACGGTTCGAAGGTGCATCATTTTGGCTGAATGAAGCAACAACCAGAGCATTGACTTTTATGCCATTTTGCGAATCCATCAAAGTCATAAGTAATCAACAGAAACATGCACATACTACTGTCTCGATTTCGTACATCATTTTCCAAATGTTGTGGCAGCTTTTATCCTTCACTAAAGGCAGCGTCCCCTCAAAATGATGGGCACCGAAATTTTACAGTGTACTTAGACCTTAGATGGGCCGTCCTCACGTGTCGTCCAGGCCCCAGTACAGAAGTTGCCATTGGTCCCTGTCCCGCGATTCAGACTTCCACGATCTTCTTGGCTGACGTCAGTGGCTGCGTCCCACGAGTTCCAGGTGCAAAAATCGTATCCAGCTGATTTTTCAACTGTCCCCGTTGCACACACGTCAGTCCATCTGGAGGTGTTCCTCGGGGACGTTTTGCTTCGCGAGGAATTCACTCCAATGTTCTTAGTGTCCATCTGTCGTCTGTTCTTCTCATAATGTGGCCGGCCCATCGATACTTCGCTTTCGCAACGTAATCCGCTGGGTCACGAAGACGGGACAATCTTATCATATCCGTACTGCGAAGCCCGACAAGTTATTTGTGTCGGGTCATCTTTAGAAGACTACGCTCTAGCGCTCTGTGGGTGGTCCGTAAAGCTTTCGACGTGGCTACACTGTCGGCCCAAGTCTCAGCTGCGTAGCAGAGCGCCGGGAGAACGGTCGAGTCGAACAGGTGGACGCGAAGCTCCGAGTCCGTCAGTTGGTCGGTGACTTCCTTCAAAGGGCTCCATGTCAGGAGTCACGCCGCGCGTCGCGCCGCTTCGCCGCGAACGTCGCGTCTAAATTTTGTACCCCACAAAACTGCCCGGTGCAAGTGGCACGGCGCCAATCTAGGGGGGTGGGGGGGGGGCAGATACATGGCTCGTATCATAAGTAAGACTGCGCCAGGAGTGCTGGCTTCTGTTTTGCTGACATCGCTTGCGGCATCGCTTCGCGAAAAATTCGCGCCGACCGTGACTCCTGACCGTTCCCCTTCAAAGGCCCGAAGGCGGCCCAACCGCTCTTCATCTCTTGTGAAGGTTTTCCCTCAAGTCTTTCTCCATGTTCATCCAACGTCGAAGATACATGTAAGAAGACGTCTCCATGATAGTGGTGCCTTTTAATTCCATTTCTGCATCTTCACAAAGGGCATTCTTCATGAACTGAGTATTCTTCCGATTTATTCGCAATCCGATTTTCTTCCCTACTTCGTTCAGTTCCTTCAGCACCATCTCTGCTTCAGTGTACTGCTCGATAACAGAGCGATGTCATCCGCAAAATGATGGATGGACAGAAATCTGCCATCAAGGCGTATGCCTCTCTCGTCCCAGTCCAGTGATTTCATTACCCACTGCAAGGCGCGGTGAACAGCTTCGGCGAGATTGTGGGCCGCATGCACTAACCTCCCCACGGGGAGGGGATCGCAGCTTAAAAGAAAGCCTTATATTTCGAAACTCCAGATACCCGGATTTCATGTTGTGTACCTATCCGTAAGTATTCCTACTACCCTTCACTATGAACGTGTTGAAGAGGAGCGAGAAGCTGTACGAACCGCATTTTCCAGCTTTTGTGTGATCCCTGATGATCCCCGGCGCTTTTCTTTGAAGTCGTTTTTCTTTCTCCGAAGTTAACGAGTGACCTCCAAAGCTGTGCAGATTATCTAACTCGACAGTGCTAAGCAAGTTGCTGATAAGACAAATGATGTTTTGAAGTCATGAAATTTTTGATGATCCATAGGTCGAAATTTGAGGTTTACCGAAAAATTCGACTTTTCAAAAACCCATTTGTTCTAAACAGCAACATGCTTAGCACTGTTGTGTTAGATGTTCAGTACAGCGTTGGAAGGTTTTCGTTAACTTCGGAGAAAGAAAAATGACTTTAAAGAAAAGCGCCGGGGATCATCAGGAATCATACAAAGCTGGAAAGTGCGGTTCGTACAGCTTCTTGCTCCTGTTCAACATGTTCATAGTGAAGGGTAGTAGGAATACTTACGGATAGATACACAACATGGAATCCAGCTATCTGGAGTTTGAAATATAAAGCTTTCTTTTAAGCTGCGATCCCCTCCCCGCGGGGAGGTTAGTGCATGCGGCCCTGTGTCGCCTTGTCGAACCCCCTTTTCGATTGGAATGGTCAGGGGACGATGGAATAGCTGCATCGTTGTTGCACATCCCCTGTAGCAGTCGGCTATGTCCTCACGTAAGCTGGGTCTCCTTGATCGACTAGCGCTGACAGGATGACGTTGGTTTCGACGCTGTCCAACGCTTTCTCGTAGTCGACGAAGGTTAGGATGAGAGGCAGTCGCTACTTCCGGCAGACTTCTATGACCCTCGAAACCTTTGCCGAATCCAGCTTCTTCTTGGGTTTGGGCTTCATCCAGTGTCCTAGATATGGGAACGAGGATAATCTTTGCGGAAAGTTGTACTCACACTCAGCATACTCAGCACGCATATTGGAGCGACGCGAGAATCTCGTGTAGAACGTTGTCCTCTGGCTTGAAGAAATTCGACGGAAAGGTGGTCCGGTCCTGGGACCGTAGACGTCTTCATGGTCTGAATCGCCGTGCGCATTCAGCAGGTAGAATTCGTGGTGGTACTTCTCCACTGGGAACAACGGGCATCGGCACGGGTGTTAGTGAGCGGAAGTGGTTGGTATAGAAGTTCTTTGCGATAGATTCCTTCTTGTATCGCGATAGATTCCATCTTGTATGAGGAAGAAGTCGGAGTTCCGTCTTTGCTTGATAGTGCAGCCAGCGGTACGTGATATCAAAAAGGTCCCTTCGGCATTTCCTGAGACTTCGTCTTCCTTCGGCTGCTTCCAGTATCTCGGCTTGCCTCTACTTCCTGAAATCCTCCTACAAAGCTGTTCTGCTACTGGCGTTGGCTATCAGTCGCTCGAGGTGGGTTCCATTCGGATCCTGCCTCAGAAATCTTCTTCTTTCGAGCATTTTCTTGGTGGTCTTCGAAATGCGTTCCACGTTCTTCTCGGAAGTCACTGAGGCGCACTTTCCGCAGGCTCGCAATCCTTTCAGAAGCCAGTCGTAATCGTACGTTGGGTCCTTCTCGATGGGCCAGTCACAACTTGATATGAGCTCCTCCAGCCTTTACCGTTATAAACGACTTCCTTCTCGCGGCACTGTGACAGACTTTCTTTTCCAGCCTTCGGTTGAGTCGTATCTTCGCTCGAAGGAGGCGGTGAGCGGAGTCACTGCAGGATGGAGAACTATTGAGGCTCGAGCAAGCGCCATCTTCGTTTGGTGAGAATGTGGTCGACCTCCGCGTGAGTCGTTCCGTTGGGAGATTCCCATGCCCACCAGCGATGTTCTTTCTTCATGAAGATGGAATTTCCATGGAAAAGTCGTGTGGCGAAGGGAACAACGAGACCGTAGCCGTTTTTGTTCCGGAGCCCAAATCCAAACTTCCCTATCCTATGTTCCTTTTCCAGTGGCATCCCGATTTTCGCATTGAAGTCGCCTACAACATACTTGTAGAAGGACTTTTCGTTGTGGACGACCTCCTCCACGTCTTCGTAGAAAGCAGCTATTTCTGAGTCGTCAGCTGCTGATGCTGGAGAATAGCAGTTGATGATGCTGATAGTCTTCTGACGTGGAGGTCGCAGTCATAGCATGGCTAGTCGAGGTGATAAGATTTTATGCGAATCGACTAGATGGGTGGGCGGCAAAGCCACGCCTCCAAAGTTTCGTGATGGAACCTTTTCACCACGAATGATGAGGGTCCCACCACTCATCTGTCGCACGCCCCTCTTCCTGGACTTCGTTTCCTGCAGAGCGATGATGTGGTACTTGACGTGCTCTGCAGCGTCGAGAAGAGCGTGGATGTCGGCGTTTATGGAGACTGTCCTGGCGTTGTAGGTGCAGAGCATGAGGCATTCTCCATGGCGTGTCGTCCAGGCAGACGTGTCGCTTTTGTCCAAGCTAAACTGTGCCCCGAGAACCCTGACATCGTGCTTGCTACCACCCGGCGTCGTAGGCGGGGTACGATGTTCAGAGTTTCTTTCTATTCTTCTTAAATGATCAAATCTTTCCACTGCAAGAACAGACTTACCAGGTCTACTCTTGATTTCCACGGGGCGATCGCTGATCTCGGGCTTGGAGCGGGGGGAGGGGGGAGGGGGAGGGACCGCCTAGCGACCAAAAAACGAGACGGCGGTGGATCTGGCGTGGCCGACTCTTAGCTAGGCATCCGGCCGAGACCGGAAACATCGAATTCCTTCACAGCTTGGGAGGCCCTGCCAGAGTATACACTCGGCTGTGCATCGCA